GTTTGTGGAATTTTTTTTCCAGTCTGTAAACAGAATTTCAGTCAAGTTCTTTGAAAAACTGCTGCTTGGTTTGTAACCTTATGTAGAGACCACATATGGCAAATTATATACAATGTTTCTCAAAAAGTTCACTGAATCCCTAAATATCTTAAAATATATTTGTTTTCCAAATTAGTTGTCAGTTAAAATGCTAATGTTTATTATTGAGCTGTGAATAATAATAATCAAGAAAGCAAATGCATATTGTAGTATGAACATCAAAAAAAATTTAAAAATAGTAGATGCTGATGAGAAAGGGATTGACATTTAAGAAAGATCCGGAAAATGTACTGCTGGTTTGAGGTATAAAGTGGAGTCAGCTAAGGGATTCAGGAAGGGGTTTCAGGACTTGCAGAACCATTCTGAGTCAGGTCAGATGCTTTCCATATTGGTTTCTAGTACGAGACTTCTGCCTGTGTGTGCTATAGTAACTTTCACATCACTAAAATGGCATAGCCTTAGGTTTCCAAAGAACAGAACCACAAAGGCATGAGTTCTGGGTTTCCTGCTGAAAATGTTATGCTTATTAAGCTCAGAGGGTGGAGAAAAGGTGTAGCCTGATGGTGAATGTCAGCTCCTGAGAGAGTAAGATTGAAATTCAGAATGTTAAATTGGAGGAGAGGGAAACAAACAAGTATGAATGGTACTAGCGAGACCTGCACATCTACCCAGAAGGCCTCTGCACTCTGCACACTGTGTGAAAGGATTCGAAGTGACATGAGCTGTGGCTGAGGAAGAATTACTTGATAGAGCTATTTAACAAGAAATTATGGAAACAATACATGGCCTATGAATACACGACAATGTTAAAACTTTCTGATAATCGAAAGACTATTAGAGAAACAATGAAATACCATGTTCTGCTCATCAAATTTACAAAGTCCAAAAAATTAAAGTAGCCTGATAGAATTTGGGGAAATGGGATATAATATAATGCCGGTGGGGGAGTAAATTAGTACAACTTCTATAGAAAGCAATTTCAAAGTACATTAAAAAAAACAAACACTGACATTCAATGGCTACATACTCATTTTTAAAGAATCAGATATGCGTAAAAATTTAAAAACAAGGATATGCAGCACTGTTTTACTGATAATTAATATGAAAAGCAACCGACAAACCAAACCAAAGTTTAGTCAGGTTACATAAATTATGAAACAGAAAAGTTTGTTGCAGCTATTGTCAACATTTTAGACATGAACTTAGCAATGTAAGAAAATGTTTTATATATACTGGGAAATACAGGTAGTAAAGATATTTATAGCATGATGCTGATTCTCTTAATGTGGATGTATACTATAAACAAAAGATTACATGTAGATACATGGAAACATTGATTGTTACCTTTTTTCAATAATAGATTTATAAACAATTTAAATTTTCTTCTTTGTGTTTTCTGTTATCTTACAAATTCCTCTGAATTAACATGAACTATGATTAAAATCACAACTATGTTTTTAAATTTGTATTTCTGTAATGAATAACCACAGCATTGCACACAGACCTGTTCTTCATGTTTGTACCTATGGAGATTGAATCAGCTGATCTCGGTGGTTCTTTCTGTCTCTAAAGTTTATGAAAAACAAAGGTAATGCAGAGATGCATACACTCAGATGGAGAACAAGATGTTAAAAAACAAACGATGTCATAGTCAGAAAGAATGAGTTTCGGAGAGAGTAAGCCAAGGTGTTTTTTAGTGGAAATTCCCTGTGGACCTACTCAAGGAGCCCTTGGCCTGGGTGTGGTCATCTTAGCATCACTGTATTGTTAAAGTAATAATGTTTATGATGATGAATAAGTAATAGGTAAAAGTACCAATACAGTGCTTATTTTGTGCCAGGTACTGCATGCTATATACACATTTCATTTTGTATCTAAAGAAAGTTATAGAAATTAAATAAAACGCCTAAGGTCTCATGACTAGTATCACACTACAATGGTCCTTATGCATTCTGGACTCTTTTAATTAAAATTCATCTTTTATGTTACTTTAAATATAAGGCTAAATTTCACTATAGCCTTTTCTCATTTTTCTGAAGGGGTGAAGGAATTTCCCTTGTAACCTCAGAACTTACTAATTACTAACCATGCCTGAATTCCCTTTGATATTTTAAACTATGAGGTCACCTGATCATTTTGGAAAGATAAAACCTACTTTAGTAAATTATGCTTGAAAGTTACATTGAAATCGTTTACTATTTGGGAGCTTTTAATAACTGAAAAACAAGTTTTTGTTGTTGATGTGATGATGAAGACGTGGGGAGAAATCTTTGTAAAAAGAAATTAAATTTGCCTTATAGCTTTTTGAATGCTTTACCAAATCTTTACCAAATCTGATTAAATGGTATAGCAACTATGGTCCCACTGGAAAAAAATTATTCTCAAGACTGCAGCTCGTGTTCCTATGTGGCCATGGCTAGATTAAGACTAGGATATAGGTTCTATATCCCGTGTAACCAAAATAAGTAAAAGAACAGAAAATTTATCTTATGAGAACTGGGTTCTATGTAATGCACCACGGAGTACAGAAGAAATGAAACTGCCTATTACTTAGGATAACGATCAGTTTTCCCTAAATCCACTCAGAAGAAGAAAAAGAGGTAACAGAGATGAAGGATTTAAATTTCCTATGAGGATGACTTCTAACAATGAGGCTGTTAAATAAGGGAACAGAATTTTGAAAAGGACTTAAATATTTATCTAAATTCTAATTGCACATGTAAGTAACATACAGATCTCTAGGCACCATCTTATTTTCTCAGGAGAAATAGTGCTTTCATAAATTGATTTATGCTAATCGTGGGTCAGCCTAATCTCTGGTGTAAATAAGTACGATATGTTTTTTTTTTTTTAGCTGAGACTACAATGCAACCATATCTCTCCTCTTATACAGAAGCTCATGTAACAGACACTGTTACACTTTATAAATGTGGGAACAGATTTCTAAGGAGATTAACATTTTTTCTGTTCCCCAAAAGATTTTTAAGTAGAACACATCTATTCTTGTGTGTGTGTGCGCACGCGCTGAAATATGGTCCCATCTAACAGCAGGTATGAGTGGATTAGAAACTCAGAACTTTCATTCATTTTTGACTAATTTTCTCCGTGAAGTCAACAAAAATGGGAATGTTGCTCCAGCATCAACTTGCCTGAGAGAAACTTTTCTTTGAACTCAAAGTTTGAGTAATTGTTTTTTAGATGAATGCTGAATCCCAAGCTTTAAACATAATCTGTTGTCAAAATTCATGAATGTTGCCTATTTATTCAATAAAATTAATATTTGGAAAGGATATTATTTTCCTCCAAAACATAATGGTTACCCTATTATAATATAACAGGGATGCAAAATTGCAGTTGGGAACAATTTAATAATTTATTTAAGTACAGTTTTATCATGTCTAAGTTCTCACAGAAACTTGAATATTAAAGTTGTAAATATTAAACTGTTAAAATTGTTAAAACATTTTCTTTTGTACTTTGGACTATCTTTTTCTCTAAACACTAACATATCAGAACATCAGTCTGGACTAAGATGCCTTCTGAGGAAGCTGCAAATAAAATCCTTTCTGGGATGAAAAGATACCACAGATAAACTAAAACTGGTGTTTCCTTTCACTCGTGCAGTAATTGACTCAAGTCATGCTTGATTTAAAGCCACTGAAAGAAAGAATGTGAGAACAATCCTCTCCCAACAGGAGTCAATGTCATCCTTCCCAGGACTCAGCTCACATAAGAGTTCTGTCAGAATGTCTTTAAGTTGCCTACATGTACTTGTACATCTTTGCTTTGTTCGCAGCACCATGTTGTTTCTGGAAAACCTTTCTTGATTTGACAGTTCCCTTGAATATCACCTCCCACAAGTTCTGAGCTAACATGGAGAAACATTCTTCCCCAGCAGAACTGCCACGTGTGATGTTCTTCTAAACCGTGGCTGTAAAATAAACCCTATGTTGCCAGCCAGTCCACTGCTCTGAAAAATCTAATTTCAACTCCACCTACTTTCTATATTTGAGAGATGGCATGATTAAAGAGATTCAGCTCAAGTCAAGATCAAACAGCATATATGCATTCGATAATTTAAGTCTAGAACTATCATAAAATAAAAGAACATTGAACAATAAAGAAAGAAATGACCTAATCTTGAGACATATTTTATTATCACCTCTTGTCTTAGATGAGCACGTCTGGGACACAAATGAACAAACACTTCCAGTACGAACACACCCAAGCATCCCTCAGGACTGTTCTTGAAATAGAGGAGGTTTACCAAACAGAAGCTTTCAAACAATGGCTATTTACATGATCAGGCTACTATAAATAGCACTTATGTTTTGAATTTCTAATATCATGAACAGCTGCCCAAAGTAGCACATATATTTTTATTCTATAAAATGTAAATTAGACTAGATATGCAAAAAAAGAAATTAAAAAAAAAGAAAATATATATTTTCTCTGGTAGGTATAATTTCACCAAAATTTTTATTTATCTCAATTTGTACTCTTCCTTTCACCTTTCTTCAGACTACCTAGCAGTCTCATATAAACAGGTTAAACATAAAAGGGTGCAAAGCTGCTCATTTGTTGATAAATGTATTTAAACTAAACAAACAAAAAAATCATATACCTATTAGTGAAATAATGTCTCTCTTTGATCTTCTTCTTAATACAAGAAATATATCTGCACAACCAAGCTAAACATCCCAAAGAATCCAAAATGCACATTCTTGCCTTGGCTATTTAATTTCATTTTACCTAAATTACCGGTATTAGTTCAAGAGTGAGAGAGAGAGAGCACCAACCTCACTAAAAGTTACAAACCAAACAATATAATTAACAAGCAGCACTTTTCTGAACTATTATCTATTCTATTGTTCAAAGAGTTAACAACAGCCCAGATCAGTCTCCTTTACATTTACTCCCTCAGCAGACCCCGACTTTACCATTACCCCTTGTCTACATACTTGGAATTTGTTGGATCCTGTGGACAACGACAAATGCATCAGACAGCCCCACTTTCACTGGGTGATTGGTTGAACTTATCTGTGTGACCAAGACAGGAATCTAAAAAAGAAAAAGCAGATTACTATGCGTTAGATTTTAATTTCATCTTGTTTAATAAATAAAATCAGGCAATGGAGATGAAGAACTAGAGAGAGAGTGCAGTAAACATGAGGGAAGAAAGACATACAATAACTAAAATTACATCCCTTTAATTCTAACTGATGGGCTAAAGTGACAAGGGAGTTTCCGGTCCTACAGGTGGTTTCTTGATGATGAAAGCAACAGATTCTCAGAGAATCTAACTGATGCTGGGGAGTGAAAACACCACACACACACACACACACACACACACACACACACACACACGTGCACCATAAATGCATGTAGTGCTGGCTATCACTTCAGGAATAGAAATTCTTCTTGCACTGTTTTCCTAAAGGACTTAAATATATAATTATTTTCATAGTTTTAAAAAAACTCTTGTTTACAGTGGCCTTATAGATATAAAAACTAGAGAAAGACAAGTAAGTACATTGCTAAAGATATATTTAACACTATTATTGCTCATTACAATGTAGTGATATTTGGCAATTGTTAATAGATGTGAAACTTCACTATTTTGGTTGAAACTTATATGGAAAACAAATTATTATGGGTCATTTCAAAGTCACACTTCTATAATTTGAACCTCAATGGAACCCCAAATCTGAATATGGCAGATATTCTTAATATGTACAATTTTTAAAAAATTAGGACACATTGAGAATATAGTAAACATAATACAGCAGTTACAAATGAGACAGATTAAAAGAGTCTGCATAATAATGATTACTAACTTTATTATCATTTTTATAGAAATAAAAATGGAATGAAACCATTTTCAATAAATAAAAGAACAAGAAACAAAAAGGAAAGAATAGATGCACCAAAAAAATCTTTAAGCAGGATAAACAGTGTGTAGGCCATCTGTTGGTAATTCATTACAAAAAATATTAGATCAGACATTGTTGTATAAATCTTAACAAATGGTATAGCAATAAGATGGAAAAAAATAAACTGGAGAGAAGATATAATAAGGCCTGTACTGTCTATTTTTGCTCACGACATCATGAAATTGAAAAGGGCTATTTTGTTGAAATTGACCAATTAAGAGGAAATTTAAATGTTTCTGAATTTTCTGAAATGATCTCGGAACGCATAAATGGAAGATGACATTTCCCCTTTATGTACTAAATCAGTTCTCTCTCAAACAACATTACATGTCAATTCTACATCAGTGTGCCCAGTTCTTAACCATCATTAAGGATTATTCTGATACTTGGACAAAAAAACAAAACAAAACAAACCTCAACTTCTGTTCCTAAAAGTTCATTTACTAAATGAAACTCTGATATACTTACTCAATATCAGTATATGAATCCCTTTTCTGAATGGGGATTATACTTAGTTACCCAGTGTCATATTCCATGAGAAGGAGTAATTTACATTTAAGAGAGACTTGCAGTTAAAAATGAAAAGACAAAAAGAAGGAGAAAGCATAGAAAAAAATCCCAATTTGGGTTATATTTTGAATTTCCTAATAAGAAAAAGTTATAATTCTTTTTAAGTTGATTAATATACGCCTGCCTAGAAGTAATTATAAAAGCTTTGCTTCTGGCACTTGTCACTTGCTTTTGTTCTCCAGCATCTATGACTGCAGTATCTCTCTGCCAGGTGTGAAGTATTTTACCAGAGAATTCTGTGATAATTACTGTATCTTTTTCTTTCCTTTTAATTTTCAAATCATTTTTTAATACTTTTTAAATTTAATTTCTTGGTTAAAAAAATTTTACAGGTTCCAGGTGTATAGTTCTATAATACATTATCCATATACGCTATTGTGTGTTCACAACCCCAAGTCTTTTATTTCTTCTAACTCAAAGTAGAACTTGAGTTTTTATTGCTATTGATGGAAAAATCCTATTATGTTATTATGAATATAATATTTTTCCTACCAGAGTTTGTATTCCAGGTCACATGTCCTGTGTTTCCTGTACACCTCCTAGTATAGCAGTTTTTCCTTCTCTTTAGATATTCCACTATACCTTTTCTCTCTTCCTTGTCTTTTTTCGCCTTACCTAGCCATCTTTCATTTGATTTTGCTTTCTCCACCCCTTTCCTTCCTTTCACTGCCTTCCTTTGTATTTTGTCTTGAAGTCAAACCCTCTCTTCTGCACATTTCCACCTCCTTTCTTGGTCCCCTGCCACTGCCATGAGAATGTACCCTGCTGGTCTGCTGAAGCTATGTGAGAGACGTGAAGAAATACTCTCCTTTCAGCAGAGACCATCCTTGACCAGCAAGCCTTTAGACCACCCACCAGCTAACAGCTGACACATGAGTGAGCCCAGGTGATATCAGCAGAGTCCACTTCAGATTAGTGGAACCCCTGAATTGATTCACAGGTATCTTGTGAGAAGTAAGAAGTGTAGTTGTTTTAAACCACTACATTTTGGGGCAATTTGTTATGCAGCCTTAACTAAATTGCTTTTGGTATCTTTTAGGAATTAAAAGGCTATCACTGGAGAAGTAGTAAATAAAAGTGTCAAAGGATATGGGAGGGGGTGGGGGCAGGAATAGGCAACATGTATGCCCTGAAAGCTATGGCAATGACTTTCGATTTTATCCCAAGTCATATGGGGAAGCCTTTAGAGGGTTTGAAAGGAGGAAGGACATACCTTTACATCTGAAAAAGATCACACTGTGTGCTCAAGACTGTAGGGCCAAGGGGTAACAGAGAAGTTAGTTAGGAGGGTCTCAGTTGTCCAGGTAAGAGTTGAGTTGCTTGGACTGCACTGGAGTGTAAGGGTAGGAGGTGACAATAGAGCAGGAAGGTGAATTCTGGATGAATTGTGACAGTACTACCATCAAGACATGCCACACATTTGATAAAAGTGAGAGTACGAGTAGAGTTGACAATGCCACCAAGACTTTTGGTCTTCCTAGCAGAAAAAATAGAGCTATGCTTGTCATCAGGGCTGCCGGTAGCACACCCTCACTTCATTCACGTCGCAGGCGAGGTGGATGCTGTGCCCTGGGTGTGCTGAGGGAAACCTGCGCAGCTCTGAAGGGGGGAACTGAAGTGTTCTGAGTCCAGGAGGATAAGGGACGGGAAGGGATGATAACTTCATAGCGAGATCACTGGCTTCAGATGCTTTTCTTTAACATTTTATAGAGTTCATGAATAAGAGCCTAGGCTTTCTAAAACTGTGGTATTTTATCCTGATTAAATATTAAAATAAAAATATATAAGAAGCTTTTGATTCCCCACATTTTCCTAGGTGATACCCAAGCCTTTTACAAAATGATTACATATCAGGTTTTGAAAAAACTGCTTTTGTCAACTGAATTAAATAACTACTAACATTGTAAAAGATTAATGAGGAAGAGATAAACAACTCCAGGCTTTCTCAAAGATTTCTTTCAGAAACATGTCTGCCTGTCTCCAACTGATACTGTCATTATCATTTCTACTCTGCCTTTTTGGACTGTAATCTTTTTATTTCCAAATATCAAAGGTGTGGGGTTGTTCTTAGAAAGGACCACTCATTTGCTCACTGCAGCCAAGTGAGTGAGTTGTACAAGTGCTCAGTGAGCAAGTCACACCAGTCCACACGTTTCCATGTCGGTCTGTAATTAGAGGTCATTAAGATGAACGAGGAGTACTGTTAAACCATATTTAAAATGGGCTGCTTTTTGATTAATAACAAAAAGCATTTGTGTGTGTATGTGTATAAATAACCTATCTGATATTGCACACAACTAGCACAAGAACAGGTTTGTCATATTGTCACAGTCACCTATTCTTTAGAGGACTCTGCATTTACAAGGATTTAAAGTCCACGAGCCAGAGATGCCACAGCCATGGGTGATGTCCATGTACAAAAACTCTAAAAATGTTGCTTAAAGAAGCACATTTTGCTCCTTTCTACAAATTTATATTCCTCTGGGAAATGTCTTTCTTAAGTTAGTTCCTGGGGATGTTAGGAAACCAATTTGAAATTACACAAATGCTTTACTACGTAAGCTTTTTTCTTTTTAATATAGCCTCATTATTTTCATGTACCCCTAATAGTTGCCTTTTACAATTAAAGTAAAGCGAATTTTTTGCTTGGATTCTGTATGATTTTTATTGAATCATAAATTTCTGAGAATGAGTTTCACAACACGTTCAGCCACAGGATAGATATAGAAAAGAAGCATTAATGTCAGTTAAAATGTTTGTATTTTGTTTTACACAAGCATTTATAAATCCTTTTTTAGGCATTTTAATTTTTATGCCACTTTACAAGACATAGATATGATTATTATTTAAGTAAGCATAACTTTTTCTGTAAATAATATAGTGAAGCAAATTAAGAATAGATGCAGCAAAGAGTTGCAATAACTAGACAACATTAAGGCAGGAAAAGTTAGGAGTAAGCAAAGGCATGGCACAGCACACCTGCCTTTGGAGGAAGGTTCAGAGTAAAGAGTTGCTCCCTTTTCTACACTGTGGTATTGTTCACCAGGACACAAGTGCCCGATGCAATGTGTAAAATGTGAACTTGTATGTCTGTCTCTAAAACAGGGAGGTAACAGCATGCCGCTTTGGTCAGAGGCAACTGGATTTTATTTTCCTGTCTGTTCTGCCCTGCAAGCTTCGCCAAAACATTTATTTTTTTTTCCCATTAGAGATGCAGCTAGCTATCTAATAAGCAGCACAACATCTCAGCAAGGGCTTGATTGTATAGTATGTGTGCCAAAGTATGAATCATATGTCTATCAGAAAGAAACTGGAAAGAATTATGCTAAACTCATTTTTGCTCACTCACTTTTTTTTTTCACTCACGCATCAGCACTATGGTGTCTGGTTATATATATATAGTACCCCAAAGCTTACTATTTTACCCAACCTCACCTGCATTCAACCCCTAACTTCCTACCTCACCTTCCTTAAAATGTCTGATCTGGCTTTTGCATAACTTAGTAGGGTATCCAACTTTAAAAAGACTTTTATTATTATTGAAACAACACAGAAAGC